CTGCTATCGGAAACTGCTGCTCGAAATTCTCAGCGACTTCATGCCTGAAATGAAAATGGCGGGTGCCGTACAGTGGCCTGTGGTGCTGTGACGTCCCAAATACCAAAACTGTACTCGAGACCGGGAAATAAATAATAATTATTAAATTAATAAATGAATGAATAAATAAATAAATAATGGCGCTAACAGGCTTCACAGGATCCACCAAATTTGCATTAAAACTCGCGTACAGCACGAAATTTGCATTAAAACTCGCGTACAGCACGAAATTTGCATTAAAACTCGCGTACAGCACGAAATTTGCATTATTAGGCCACAGCTTGACTGGACCATTCACCCCGGTGTTTGTAGGAAACAGCACGTTTTTATTTTATTGCAGTCACCAGGCCCTGCCAGGTTCCAGCTGCTGAATAACTGTAGTAAAAATCTAATTATATTAATAACTCAAACAAGAAAAAATGGCACAAACCTCTCAGTGGGTACTGAATCATAAATGTTAGCACATGGTTTTCCTAAGCGGCCTGTGCTTTTTATTTAAGTGGTTTTTTTTTGTTGTTGTTGACTTGCCTGGTTCAAGGTTACTTTGAGTCACTGCACCACCTTGTGGTCTAAACGGGTATTACACAAAGCGCATTTCAGCCCCACAACTTCATGTTTTGAACATGAAACTTTTAAACAGTTATTTGTTTGAAATTTGTTCATCGCTTTAGTGAATTTTAGAGGGTTTTTACACTATTTTAAATACATTAATTTACAATAGGTACCTTTTAAAATAAAAAACCATGGTATTCCTAAGAATGATCATTTGTGTCACGCATGTGTAGTGTGACACAGATGAGACCCAGATCTTGTAAAATGTATTAATACATCTTTTTTAAAATGAACTTCAGATAATGTTTTCTTACATATGTGTCTGCAATATGACTCGGTATGTGGGAGTTATCATGAGGACAAGTTACTACTGAGGGTAAATCTTTTCCCACGTGTCACGTGGCCTTCTCATCTCGGCTTGTAGTTCAGAGTTACAGCAAAATCTTTTCTGATGTTTTGCGTGAACATCTGATGAGATCTTTGTGGATTTTCATGCAGCATGTTAGTTTATTGCTTTCACCAAATTTCTTTCTCAAAAAATTGCAGAACTATGGCTTCCTGTTTGTGTGGACTCTCTGGGACCTCCTGTTCCAGACTGGAGTTCCTTTCGGGTCATACAGGTGAGAAGTGGGAACTTTCTCTTCCTTACAGGCGTGTTGCTGTGGGAGTTCTTAAAAAAGACAGAGAAATACATGATTAAAACACAAATCTGGACAAATATATTTAAAATGAAATCTGGGAGCTCTGTGGTTCTGCACACAGTTTTGTTTGCAAAGCTCACAATGAAACCACTTTATGAATAATCATAATCTTATGAACCCTTACTAGCAATACTGTGGCTTTGGGTGATGCATGGGTTTAACTGCTAAGTGTCCAGATGTTCTTGCCAGCCTTTATGTTTCCCTGCATATGTGCACAATACCTGTTAATTTGAACTTTGATGAGCCGGCATTTCTTTTAATCCATGACTGTAGAGCAGGGAGGTGTAATTGGAAGGTAGGTGGTTCAAACTCTGGCTGCTCTGGTCAAAGTGTCCTAACCGCCCCCAAAAAAGCACAGAAAAAGTCCATTTACTATTACATAATCTCTTCAGCCTGTGTCCTGAGTCTGCAGCAGGGTGTGGTGTGCCCAAAACACCTCACCTAGTGCAGGGGGCATTCTAGCTGCTTCTTTTGATATGGATTAGTCCCAGCTCTACTTTGAGTCAGCATCCTGATCAAACCCTCAGCTGCCCATAAAAATCATGAACAAATAAAC